AGAAAGAAAGAAAGAAAGAAAGAAAGAAAGAAAGAAAGGATGCATTTTACAATATATCTGAACATTACTGCAAGATATTCAAATATATACAAATCAGTGGAGAGGCCAAAAATTTTGAAGTGAGTGGACCTTGATGAAATATGGCAGTACAACTACTCTCAAACTAAAGTGCATAATTGTACAATACATAGGGCATAAATGGGGATGCAAATTTCAACAACTAAAATGACATTATCAGTTTTTGGCTGAAAGAGAAAAAGGTAAAAAAATATATGCCTAAATAAAAAAAAAAATAAAAAAAACTTGAAAATGTTATCTGTTGAGCATTATACATAAAAGATAATGTGCCCTATATCGTAAAAAAAAAAAGGTCCAAACAATACCGGAAGTACAAAAAGTACATTAAAACAATATACACAATTGGATTTTGGGTCGTGTTTTGGTTTGTAGCTTCACTAAACGTTAGCAAACCACTTACAATTATTTAGAGCAAGTGTTCTCTATTCAAACAACCCCAAACACAAAATAACACTACATGTAGATCTTAGGGTAATCCTCATAGAGTGGCTTGACATGCTGCTTTGCTAAAGATATAGGACATCCAGGATCCGACTGTGTCTCGGTGATCATGATGCAGTGTATTCCAACATCATTTGAAAACATTGGGAAGTTCAACAAATAGAAACTGAATCTCAGGTATGGTGGGTAGTGCAATCAGTGACATTTTACAGTGGGAGTGCACTTGGACTGGATTGATTGCTAGTTACCAAGAAGTTCTTATGTTAATGTATTATTGTCATGTATGCAGGATTTTTCTTCTTTCCTACAAAAAACAATTTTGGGTCCCACTGTATATTAAGTGGCCTTAACTACTATGTACTTACATTTATATTAATCATTTGGTACAATGCACTTATTGTGTTCATGTTTTTACATTGTACTTATATTTGAAAAATATCTGCATGTAATTACATCTGTAATTATTTTCTGTAATTACATTTATAATTACACTGTTGACCCATCCCTTACACCTTAACCCACCCTTAAACCTACCCATACCACCAAACCTGTTCCTAATCTTACCCGTTTTCCACCTCAATAACAGCGAAATTGTTTTGCAATACAGTATGAACACAATAAGTACTTTGTACTTATTTTTTGATGTAAGTACATAGTAGTTAAGGCCACTTAATATAAAGTGGGACCCAATTTTGTCATTTGTTTGGGTGAACCAGCCATCAATTTGAGTGAGCTGGTGCCACCCTGGCCCTTATGTAGCCTCACCACTAATACAAATACATAAGTAGTTTGAGAATGTAAGATCACTTACAGCATCTTAAATCACTGCCATATCAACAACCTCTTTGCATATCCTGTATGTGCAATATTTCAAAACCTTGCCTTAAGTAGCCTCTATAAATTATGCAGAGAGCAAAAATCAGACCAAAGTGCATCACCAATGTGAATGTGACTACACTGTCCAGTTTATCACACTAATAATTAGGCCTTGCTGCATGCAGGAGCAGCTCTAAGCGGGTGCAGTGCCCTTGTGTCAACAAGCAACTCTCAGTGCCCCTGTAAATTCATATATAACCAAATATTTTTAATTAGTCTACTTTTGTAAGGCTGTTTAAATGGATAAAACATGTGCCCAATATGCACCACTACTGGCTGTAAGGTCCTTTGGGGTACACAATTTTAATTGAATCCTTCACGTGCCAATTTATTACTTTCATTGCCACACGCGCCAACCCCTACAGCTTCAAAACTTTCTTTATTTTTCTTCTGGCTACAGATCAACCAAAGCCTCCAGGCCCAGTGGTGCTAGAACAGGTTGTTTATGGTAAAGTCATTATCACATGGGCTCCATCTCCAGACCAGGAGAAGGATGATCGACTGCACTACATGGTGGCAGAACGTGATTCCAACACACGTGTTTGGCGCACAATTGCCGACCGCCTGTTTTGCAACACTTACACTACCTCTGTCCACCCTGGTCGTGAATACCACTTCAGAGTCTATGCAAAAAATGATATGGGACTTTCTGATCCCTCTAAATCACCAACATGGGGTGTCAACGAGCTGAGAGGTAGGTTGCTGGAGAGTAAAAACAAGTGCTCACTCAATTAATTGTTATATTACTCAATTTCCTTGTACAGTATATCATAATAATTTGTTGCATGAAAGGAACAGTGCATCCATAAAATTAAAATTATCATTATTTCATCACGTAATTCCAAACCTGAATTACTTTTTCTTCCGCGAAAAACACAAGAAATTGTCAAGATTTTTTAATGGTTGCTCATTTTATGCAGTTGTGAATGTGTACTGTGAGGCTTTCAAGATTAATGAAGGCTGTAAAATCACCACACAAGTAGTTCAAGACAATGTGTGATATTACAGGTCTTCTGACGCCATACAATAACTTAGAGTTAAAAACAGACCATCATAACAAAATCATGAGATTCACACATTTTTGTTGATGCATAATAGTTCATGAAAGAAATAGCGATGTCTGATTCATTAACAAATCATTATTTTGAATTAGATCTTTACAATGACTTGGGTGAACCGATTTTCAAAACTACTCTGAATGATTCATTCATGAGTCTGATTGATCTGGACTAAAGTTCAACACACTGACTCAGTGATCTGATCATAGCAGTACATTAAGAGCAAGCAGTACAATTCTCCTTTTTTAATACTCTTACAGATTTGGGACGACATGAGAATTAGAAAACAATGACAGAAATTACATTTTAGGCTGAACTATTCCTTTTTCTCATTTCTAGTGCCACTAGTCACAAGGTCACCAGTTATGATAACTTTTGAGAGGCCACCTTCCATCTTGGTTCCACTGAAATTCCACAGTCCACCACGGGGCTTTCAGCTGTACATGACCTGTGCTGTCCGTGGCTTCCCCACTCCACATGTTGCGTGGTACCTCAACAACGTCTGCATCAACTCCAACAACAGCTACTACATCACAAATGCATATGGAGTCTGCTCTATGTACATCATCCGAGTTGGGCCAGAACATAGTGGCGAGTACAAAGTGGTGGCAGTCAACTCATTTGGCAAAGCAGAATGTTCCACCAATCTAAAAGTGAGAGGTATGTAATGATTATTTCCACATTTGAATATGTTACTGCTACCATGAAATACCATCAAAAATGACATATTCTGACTTTATTCTCTTTTCGATTTATTTACAGATTGAAATTCAGCATGCTGACAACCAGCTAGCTTGTGTACTGCAAACCTAACCAATATATAGTGAATTATTAGGAATAATATGCACTGCAAATGCCAAGAGATATATTGGTGTATCACCGTTCGTGATATTTTATTAGATAAAATCAGAATTATTAACTGCATATTAGTGCTGTTATAGCTATAAGACATGAATGTGAACTGTGTTTATTGAAAAAATAAAATAAATAAACAGGTTTCTGCTCACTTCCCTGGATGGTCATTTTCAAAAATTAAACATCAAAATAAGATAATCTTAGCAGAGGTTGTTACACTACATTTTCCCCTTATTCAACAAAAGATTTTAGATATGCAACACAAGGCATTTTGGGTATCATAAAAGGTTCAAGTATGTTACTGCGCCACTGCAAAGATCACCTGCCCTGGTCCAAATACAATAGATTTAGTACAAAAGTGATGCAAGTTATCGACGACTTTACTGAAGAGTAAACACACTCATTTTGCTGCTTACCTTGTGGCTTCAGGAGGTGTTTCAGGTCGTAGGATGACGTTTGTGTTTACTCAATTTCCTGAAGTCCAGAGATGTCTCCAGGCTAACTCAAGCACAGGCCCTTGCAATTTGCCTGGCCCCAGACTTTGAGACAAGCTGTCTGGGCACGTCAAGCTTGGTAAACCCCTGTCAATGTAAAATGAAACCTTCCCTCAGGGCTGTGAGGGAAATATGCTGCCAAATGAATATATATATTTTTTTACAAGGCCCACGTTAATAACAATATGAGCCCCTGAATATTACATCTGTAAAAGCTTTATATTTAGACAATCAAAATGCAATGGTCAAAAATCACCTGTAATAATTGCGCTCAAATAACTCTTACAAGCAACTAATGCTTTAATTTTAAGAGCCATTTAAGATACACTTTAAATATCCAATAAAAATGCAATATGTTCGGTCATGTTACAAGAGATCGTCATCCTACTGTAAATGGCAAGGCCTGTATAGGGCAAGTGTCTACATTTAGGACACATGTATGACTTTAATACTAAACTCACTCGGTTTTTTGATTGTAATCATAACATTTCTGCAAATAAGTGAACTACATATGACCTACTGTTCATAATCAGTTTGGTTAAACAATGTCTTGTTTTTAGACACTTTCTTCAGCCAGACTTTGAGATCAGCTTCAATTTCAAAGATGAACATCAAAATAACACGATAGACAACTTTTTTTGCAATGCCTGACATCACACAAAACAATACAATTTCGCTTTACATTCTGTCAGGATCAGAAAATGATACATGAATATGAATATCTGATTCATGGGCTGGACATCCACCCCACCCCAGCTTTTCAAATAAAAGCTTTAAAGTGACAGCTGATTGATTCAACTGCATGGAAGGTTTCCATTCGGTCCACCAATGTTCTTAACTGAACAAGCAGAAGCTGAAGGAGCAGCGAGATTTTAAAGGTGAGTTTTTATTTTCTTTGACATGCGGCACAAAGAACCATCAGGAACAATTTACCATTCCTATTCACAGCTCACCCATAGTTATGAATTTCATTAGTCCTTGAACTAAGAATAAATAATGGAAACAAATTTGGCCATAAATAATGGTTTTGAGCACATGATTTTATTATCACAATGAGAAGACAGCTGCACATGTAAAACCACTGAGTGTGATATGCTACACCACACTAGCAGTGGTTTTTCCTCTTAAGAGTTAGGACAGACAAATATGTAAGTGGTCATCTACTGGCATATATTATTAATCTCTGCTATGAGAATCATTCCCATCCATGCTATCTCTTGACTTAACTTTGTTTATTATGTTTACCAGAGGATGTGTTATGCAGAATAATACAAACTTCTATTTGAAAATGCATGCCATTTTTCAATTCAAACTTCGTTCAAAATATTTGTAATAAATCAATAGCTACTTTCGTCTTATTTTCCAACAAAACATCCAAACCTCTTATAAATCGTGTGAGATCTGGTGAAGCAAAACATATTTACTT